ACGCAAACTGACCCTGTTACTGATGTTACCCCTCATTTATAGCATTATACTGCTTTTTTTGTCTTCACGTTTTTCATGTTCGCTGCACCCAAACACTTTGGCCTCATCAGCACTGGGAGGTTGTTCAAGAGACCCTCCCACCCACGAGGAGTTCACCGCTTCATTAGCACCTTTCTCTAAAGGATCTGTTGCATTTGGGACACGACCACGAGTGGTGGGTGAGAGCGAAGGGACACTCATCTACCCACATCATACGCTTTCAAGATTTCATGATCACTCGCTATACCATCAACCCAACCGCTTATGGGATCCCCATTGAATATAGTGACATGGAATGTCAAGGGTCTTAAATCACCACAGAAGCGAACCCAAGTATTACGTCACCTCAAGAAATTGAAGGTAGATATTGCCCTGCTCCAAGAGACCCATCTCCCTCAGGATGACTTCTTCCGCATGCAGAGATCTTGGGTGGGCAAGGTCGTGGGCGCCCCCGCCAAAGGAAGATCTGCTGGGGTGCTCGTCCTGTTACGCAAATCGTTGCCCCATACAATCCTATCCTAAAGATGTGATACACAGGAGGGACGATGGGCCTACATCTCCATTCTCTTGGGTTCCACCACGCTTGACATCTGGAACGTGTACGGGCCGAACTCGGACAACCAAGTATTCTTTGAATCCATACTATCTCAATCAACACAAGCTCCTACGAACACTCACCGTATCATCGGAGGAGACTTCAAGCAGTACCATCTCCACCAGAGGACAGGTCGGGCGGCATCCGGCCCTCTCAACGACTACCCTCACCGCATGACGACCACCTGGGCGCTCTGATATCCGCCAGCGGTATGATTGATGCATGGAGATTTCTTCACCCCCTTGAAAGGGACTTCACCCATTTCTCTCACGCACACGGTACCATGTCCCGCATTGATCTTTTTCTTTTATCCCCATCCATTCTGGCCAAGACCCGCTCCTCATCCATTGAAAACATGGTTGTTTCGGACCACTCCCCAGTAACGTTATCCGTCCAAGATCTCACCTTCCCTACTTCCCCAATCTCTTGGAGATTCCCTGCCTACTTGCTAAAAGATGAGTCCTTTTGAGCCGAACTTACAACATGGTGGTCGGATTACCTTACACATAACTCCGTGCACATGGATCAACCTACGCTGTTTTGGGAAGCCGCCAAGGCGGTGCTGCGCAGTAGGATCCTGGCTTATGTCACCTCACGTAAAAAAACCACGCGGCAAAAATATACAGCCTCTTGTACCAAGGCCAGGGAGGCATATGTGCAGTACAAGTTGACTCTCTCTGAGGCTGATAGAACCCGGTGGATACAGGCCAAGCAGGAGTGCGATCATTGGCTCCTACAATACGACCGCCTCATTAGATCTTATAAGTCCTCAGAGTTCTTTAGATTTGGAGACAAATCAGGTAAGCTCATGGCCAATTTGGTGCGGGGGAATATACCTACCCCTCACATTCTCAAGTTAGCTGACAATGCGGGCAAGATACTCCCCGATCCTGCTGCCATCTCAGATGTATTCTGTACCTACTATCGCAACCTTTACGCTGCAGATGACACTGATGCGGGAGCAGGTCTGGAGTTCCTGGATTCTCTTTCCTTGCCAGCGTTGTCAGCAGATGATGTGGGCTTCTTGAACTCAGAGATAACCCTAGAGGAAATTAAAGAGGGCATACGTTTATCCCCTCGCACAAAAAGCACCAGGACCCGATGGTTTGTCTTCCGAATTCTATAAGATTCTGACGGAAGAGGTGTCCCCACCCTTGCTGAGCTTGTTCCACCACATTCTATCGCGTCGCTCCTATCCCCCCACTTTCAACGAAGTTCATATCAGACTCATAACCAAAAAAGGTAAAGATCTTCTTCAGCCAGGATCCTACCGCCCGATCTCATTGCTGAATTTTGACGCTAAACTATTGTCTAAGATCATGGCTAATCGATTGTCTATTATTCTGCCTCGCTTAATATCTGATAACCAAGCTGGTTTTGTTGCAGGTCGTTCTGCGGGTTTGAACATCCGTAAGATATTGTGTGCCCTTGATGGTATGAGGCTGTCGGGGCCTTATTGGCTCTGGACGCGGAGAAGGCATTCGACAGCGTCTCCTGGCAATGGCTTCGAAATGTTTTGGTGAAGATGGGTTTTCAATGGTGCTTTTCTGCATTTTGTTTCCACTCTATACATGTCACCTGAGGCCAGGATATTCACCTCCACATCCATCTCGCCCAGATTTCAACTACACAGGGGCACTAGACAGGGTTGTCCCTTGTCTCCCCTCCTCTTTAACATTGCCATAGAGCCACTGTCCCGCTCCATGCTCTCTCCTACGTTATTTACAGGCTTTAAATTGGGAAACTCGGAAATCAAGTCCATGCTTTTTGCAGACGACATAATGTTGGTCCTATCAGATCCTGAAACACAGATCCCGACCCTGTTAAACCACATAGCGTCCTTCGGACGCTATTCTGGCCTTAAAATCAACTTAGACAAAAGTGAAATAAAGCTGCTGTCACACAATCCCTCCCCCACCCTCTTATCAGTTATAACCGCCCACAAGCTCCAACTCAGACAACGCTCCCTCTCCTACTTGGGGATACAGATACCCCGAAACTCATCAGACCTATATGCCTTAAATTTTACCCCTATTATCAATAAAATTACTCAGAAATTGGCGTCATGGAAACATCTCCCGTTGTCCATGACCGGTAGATGCCATCTCATACGGATGGTGAGCTTTGCTCGCCTCCTTTATCCTCTACAGACCCTGCCCTTACTCCTTAAGCATAGGGATACGAAACTGCTGGACAAGGCCTTCTCACACTTCATTTGGAGGGGCAAGAAGGCTCGCATAGCTCTCCAAAAAATGCAAAATCCTAAATCACACCTAGGTATGAATCTACCGAACATCCGATTGTATAACCTAGCGAGTATATTCCGGCATGCAAGGGACTGGATTTTCAGCACTTCCTTTTACTCCAACACACTCCTAGAGCAACAACTGGCGTACCCTTGGTCCCTAGCTGGACCACTTCACTCCTCCCTGCACTCCCTACCTCCTCACTTGAAAGCGCATGTCCTCATAAAGGACACGGTAATCGCATGGAGGGAGGTCAGAAAGCTATTCCGTATGCCAGGCACTATCTCCCCGTGGATGCCCATAACATCTTCCCCGGCCTTCCCCGTGGGGGCTGATTCCCGGGTCTTCAAGACATGGTCTGCATTGGGCATCAACACTATACGTGATGTACTCACGCCCCAAGGAGGTTGCATGACCTTCAATGATCTGATCTCTAAATATCGCATTGCTCCATCCCACTTCTTACAATACGCCCAGATCACACACTTCATACGCACCCACTGTCCCCCACCAGGTCGCGCCTCCTCCCCTCAGGCCTTCCAACAAATGATGACTCCCGCGACCACCAGGCTATCCCTGTCTAATCTTTACCTTATCCTTCGGATATCCATCAACGGCCTGACAGGTTCATACCGCCCTTTGTGCAATTGTGGGCCCAGCTTATAGGCCATATCCTGGAAGACAACTATGCTAGTATCTTGAAGGGATGGCAGCAAATTAGGAAACATGTCATTTGTGAATCCTGGGGTGAACTCCAATTTAAATTGTTCCACCGAGCGTACTACGCCTTTAATTTCGTTCCTACGTCCGCCTCACCTGACTGGCTGCAACACTGTCCCAAGTGTAACATCCACCACCCTGACCTGATTCACCTGATGTGGTCTTGTCCTATGATAACCACTTTCTGGCAACGGGTTATGGGCTATATGAACTCTTTATCGGGCGGGGAGAGGGAAGCCCTACCGTCCCTCTGTTTACTGCATGATATACCCCAGGATCCCTCAATGACGTCCCCTCCAATTTCTCGCTGGGAACAATTATGCCTGTTGGCTTCCTAAAAAAACATCCTTACCAATTGGCTGCTCCCTGCCATCCCAACTGTGCTGGATCTGTCCAACACCCTTCATAGACTCATGCTCTTAGACAAATCCGACTCCCTACACAATGAAAAAAGGACAGGACAATTTTTCCATACGTGGTCAGATTTTCTCACCACAACACTATCCTTAGCTCAACTTAGGGATATTATGCTGCCCTTCCGCTCCTCCAAATGGTACGACATAGCCAAATTAGACGGCTCCTTGGGAGCTTTAGATGTGTTATAACATTATAACAATGCGAGCGATATCCTCCCGCCAGGTACTGCGCTGCTGCACTGAATACTTGCGAACTAAGATGGGGGAGAACCTGCTCTCTTTCCTTGCCCTGTTCCTATGTCCGACGTTCCTCGACCCTTGTCACACAGTCTGTCCCATCTTCGATGCTGATCCATTATAATATGGTGCACTCCTACAATAGGCCCTTTCGAACCCTGTGATGAAGCGATTTGTGTTGGTCTATGTCTGTCCACCTCTCTCTTTTTGTGAACTACCATTTAGTTATTGCTCTGTTACATGGTGGCTATAACGACCCTGTGAGGTTGTCACAGTTGTTTATTTTCTTTACTGACCTGCATTAATCTGTAACCGTGTTAACCACCCGACCTTTCCTACACTGCTTGTATACCGGGTTACTATGATGTCTTCTCATATGTATTTGCTTTGAACAAAAACCAATAAAAAATTACATGCTCAAAAAAAAAAAAAAAAAGTTACACTAACCCAAAACTTAGCTTCTCTGATATGGAGTATTTTAGTAAATGAATGGAAAATAAAATAATTATTTGGGTTTTAAAAATGTAGTCCTTTGCCCTGGTCTTTTTGGATTGAATACTATTGCTGCTTGTGGCACATACACACATCTATGACTACAGATAGAAGAGCATAATGTTAATGCATCAATATGAGAACAAAAACAATTGTGACCTGTCTGAATAACAATCTATTTACTTACATATTGCATACATAAATGTACATGAACATACTATATTTGAAGAGTGTGGTCTACTTATATAAACTTGCCCTTTTCCTTCGTTTTTCAGCAGCATCAAGTTCAGCTTTTATCGTCTTATCAAACTTGTTTAAGAGCTTGGGTTTCTTTTTCTTGGCTACAAAACAACATAAAGGATCCATATTTTAGTAATTTATCTTATTATCACAGTTAACGGCGTATGAGTGCAGTGTGGTTATACCTTTGATTCATTGCATAACAAAAATACAGTTATTATCTTGAAAGCAATGTGTTTTCTACAGTTAGCACTGCTACAGAAACATTATATTTTTAAATTTGATGTTATCTGACTCACTTTTTAAAGAACAACACTGACGTAAAGCAGTACATAAAAAAGCAGAATATTATTTTACAGTGAGTACCTACTGGAATCATTAAAGTGACACTAAACGCAGGAGTTAAATCTTAAAAATGCATTCAAGTACCTTAACTATTAACAAAAATGTATCTTATTTATTCATCACTCAGGTGTAGATTCTCAAATCATCTCTGAATTGGTGCTGACACTGTCCTTCCTTTTGGAGGGTGGCTACTTTTGTTCCCCATGGTCCCTGTGTGTGTTGTAAAGTAGCCACCACTCCAAGCTCGCTCCCGTGATGGACGATCATTTCAATACAAATTAGTAAACTAAACATGAGAGTGCAGTCTATCACGGGGTGATCTTGCAGAGGTGACTACTTTGCAACGCACACAGGGACCATGGGGAACAATAGTAGCCCCCCTCCAGAAGGAAGCACAGTGTCAGCACCAATTCAGATATGATTTGAAGATCTACAGTGCAGTGATACACAAATACGATACATTTTTGTTAGTAGTTAAGGTAGTCGAATGTATTTTTAAGATCTAAGTCCTGAGTTTAGTGTCACTTTTAATACAGCCAAACAACACTACCCTCTGGCATGAGAATCTCATCCAGTACCCTGATACCCAACATCAGCAGGGTACTGCACCCGGTCACTGTTTGCGCTGTTTAAATACTTCTATCACTTACATTTGATGAAATTTGATTATTTATATTTGCCTAGTCTCAGTTAGTGAATCCTACCTTTGGTTCACAATGAGGAGAAGGCAATGGTCATGTTCAAGAACAAAAATTCAAACCTCTCCGCATCTCCTAACAGCCCATGGGTCATTAGTATGGATTCATTATTATTCGTATTCTTTTTCGGAATGTTCGTTCAATTTTCGACTAGTTAATGCGATCAAATTGATGATGATTTTTGACAGTAGTAACAAAACAAATCGAAGTGACAAGTTGGAATTTTTTTTCTCAAACAAAATTCTAACAGTGAATGCGATTTTCATTCAGTAAACTCGGTAAAACATTTCAAAGTTGAATGTTAAAATCAAATGAAATTTGCAAATTACATTTGTGAAGTCTCTGATGGCAAAATCAAATGTGCTGATGAGATTTTTCGTATGACGTTCTACAGAAATACTAAAAAACATACGGGAGCAGAGGACGCTGATTTGGAGATCCCCTCAGACTTCCCCTGCTGGAGATTTTATATTTTATCGTTTCCTTTTACGCTTATGATCATTGGCTTTCGTGTAAGTACATTTTCACTTGCATGTTGTACTCATCAAATAAAAGTTTTACACTATGGAGGCGCTCTGTGTTGCTTTTGTTCTACAGAAATCTACCAATGCGTGGCCAGCTTTACTGGGTTATGCTGAACAGTTATTTCAGCACTGGGAGTGCTTTTTTATTCGGTAGTAGCTAAACTAGACTTCCATATTTCCTCAATGTACAGGCACTGAAATGTGCTTGCATACAATGTCCTTCTGAAAGTTGCACCTGTGTGCCCAGGGGGGCAGTGAGTACCATTCAAGCAAAAAAGCACTAAAGCCTATCCTCCTGTGGAAATCTGGCTCTGTCTTTAAGGTTAAAACACATAATAGAACAGACAAAGGGTGATATTTTTATAGACCGGTATTCCATCTTAATAGAGCTTCCCCTGTTGCTCTAGGTAAGCTGTGCAGTCAGTAAGATGTTTTGGAGGCATAAAGTGTTATAGTTTTAAAGTGTCAGATTCTAGACCAAATATAAGTTTCCACCTAATGCCAGCAAAATGATGTTGATGGGCTTTCCTTAACTTCAAATTAGTTTTGCACTCCCTCGCAAGGAATGCATAACCTGCTTGACACTGGTGAAATAGATTAGGTCAACTGCAGGTACAATACAACTGTCAATGAATTCTAGATGATCAATGATAACAAACTGATGCCATGGACACAGGCGCTAAAAGGTGCCCATACACCTTACAACCATCGCACCACTTTCGGTGCGCGGTGGTTGTAAGGTAATTAACATCTCGTATGATCTGCCCATCTTAGACAGGCAGATCGTACTTGCGATCATCGCAAACCCTCCCTGTCGAGGGGAGGGCTTCCGATGATTCCAATGCTGAGCGGGCAGTGTGCTCTTGCGCACACCGGCATTTGTCTACCGAGCATGCCACTAACCCGCCGAAAATCGTACGATTCTCGGCGGGTTTTTGAGCGTGCTCGAAAGACAAAAGACGCACGACCGTACAGTAGAAACGGTTGCACGCCTTCCATACACTTGCCGATTATCGTACGATAATCGGCAGGTGTATGGGCAGATATTTTTGTGGTTAGAAATGTCAACAGCTACTTTAGGTTAACTTTAAGAAAACTTGTATTGAACGATAAATGGGGGTTTTAATTTTTTCGGTGGAAATGCTAGTTGCCCAGCTGTCCCCGGCTTTAACATCTTTTGAGATCCTGTTCAGGAAGACTCGAAAGTCAGAATAAAGTATGTACCGATGCCATGGGAAATTAAAATCTGAAAAAGTACTAGAAAAGTCCTGATTGAGAAAGTAATGAAGCTACTAAACCACTATGGAAGCCAGGGAACTAGTATTTTCAAGACAGGTCATCAATGGCCTTTTTTTATATATATTTCATTAGTTCAGGTTTCCTTGAAGTTATAACATAATGCTAGATATCTGCACCATACAGCTTAAAAAAAAACCTGCCATTAGAAAAAAATTTGTGAAAATGCTAGGTCCCGGGCTGCCACTGTCATAAACAGTTATATAGACCTGTATGTGTTATATCCACTGATGCTATACTAAACATACATATCATAAACAAGCTACTGCCTGCACAAAAAATGTATCACATTGGCAGCACAAAACAAAGGCACACATTGCTATTACTGGTTTCTTTTGTCATGCATAACTTCTTAATTACCGTCCTGTCTAATTAAGACAATTAAAGGAACCACTAAAGAATGAAACAATGCTCTTTTATTCTGGTTCATTATTTGCAACCCAATTAGAAAATGTGTGCAAAAGCTAATAATTCAATGTAATTAAATATTGATTTTTTTCAGCGGTAGATTAAACAGGCACACACTAATTTCTTGATAACTAGTAATTCCACATTTTATCTAGAATTATGTAAATACCTAACTACTGACATTCAATTAAATGAAGGCTGCAATGCTAAAGCCGCCCATTCTACAAAATGAATTAGTGAGAAACATTCACATCGCATCTATTTCCCTTTCTGGAGAAACATATTAACCAGCAGAGGCATTTATAGAGAACAGATGGTAATATTGACACTAATGTTCATGCTTTATCTTCTGCACCTGACTGCCCCACTAGCCCTTTTCCCTGGGGTTGCCAGGGTTCTTTTCTCCTCAACAGCAATATGAGCTTGAAAAAAAATCACAGCCCTTTCCCTAAGCCCACTTCTCTTTCAGTAACACATAATGGAGTAAGACAATAAAGGGATGCACACCACAGAATCATATGTCAAGAGGCTGAAGGCCCACAAGAGATTGTGTGAAAAACTGGACACATCTGTTGATCTGGAATAGCTACTTAGCTTTTGCTGGAGAACCAATGATGGCTGTTACAATTCTTGTGTCCTACAGACAACCAGTGCCCTGTAAACCTGTGAAAGTTGTAGATTTTTCCCAGTATGTACACCTTAGATGTGCCTAAAAATAAGGGAAGTTGAAGAACGTCACCAGCAATTAAGTGTTCATTTATTGAGCCTGATGAAGGGGACCCTGCGTGGCCCCGAAAGCACTTGCAAATGAGGGACAGCATTCTTTAATAAATGAACACTTAATGGTTTGGTGTGCTGATGACGTTCTTCAACTATCTGCATGTGGTGTCGCCAACCGCAGTCATTTTGAGCACCCGCTGGTGTATTCACATGAGAATCCCGGTAAAGTGTGCAGCAAGGATCCTTTGTCTTGTAAAAATAAGGGAAGGCTATTCATCTGAATACTTTAAGAATTGACACAATTCAGGTGCTTCACTTACAAGATGGTTTATAATAGGGATGCACAGATATATCGGCCGAAAATGGCACTTTTGGCATAATGCCGAAAGTGCCATTTTCCTGCCGATACATCGGCGATTGCCAGGCTTCTCTCCTTCCCGCTGGGTGCTGTTCTGTGTCCCAGTGGGGAGGAGAGAAACTGTGTCAGAGAGGAGAGCCAGGTACAAACACTCAGCGATCAGTTATTGCTGAATGTTTGTACATAATTGAGAACATGGTATGTTAACTATATCCTCAATTATGAATGAATGGGAGTGATCCACATCACCTCCTGTTCATTCATATTTGTGGTTATAGTAAACACACTCTGTCCTCATGTTATCAATGAACAGGAACACTCAGTATAGAGGATTCCTGTTCATTGATAACAGGGGACACAGAAAAAGAGATTGAGGACTCTGTATTCTCAATCTTTTTCTATTTTAAAAGGGAAATATCAGGGGTCTGTTTAGGCCCCCAATATTTCCCCGAAGCCCCTAAAAGTAATGTAAAAAATACAACTATTTAATAAAAAATTAATAAATAAAAATAAATATTAAAAAACATTGAAAAGTTTATAAAAAATAAATAAAAACTAAATATTTAAAAAAATTAAAATAAAAAACATTTTCGGTATCGGCCTGACAATTTTTTTTATTTGGTTTCGTTTTGGTTTTAACATTTCCATTTCGGTGCACCTCTAGTTTATAAAGACAATTCAAAGTCATATTTAAAGTTTGAAAGTATCCTGTCTGACCTGTCTGTCCTAATACTGTCTTAATATTTATTTGGACGGCCTTTAGCTTTCACTGGCACTCATTCGCCGTGGCATTGTTTTGATAAGTAATGCAGTGTCCCAACATTTATTTCCATCCAGAGTTGCATTCATTTTTCACCAAAATCTTGTAGTGAGGATGGGAGAGTCGGACCACTAAGTCTTCTATAGCACATCCCAAAGATTCTCAATGCGGTTAAGGTCTGCACTCTGTGGTGGCCAATCCATGTGTTCGAAATTTATGTCTCATGCTCCCTGAACCACTCTTTCACAATTTGAGCCCAATCAATCCTGGCATTAACATCATGCAATATGCCCTTGCCATCAGGAAAAAAAAAATCAATTGATGGAAAAACCTGATTATTCAGTATGTACAGGTAGGCACCTGACCTAATTTTTGGGTGACATAACAAGTGAAACATATTCATGATTGTAGTAATTATCAGAAGGAAGGCTCAATTAAACCAATATAATAACTGTGAACCGTGTTCTGTATGGAAAGGTCAAGATAATAGAGAAAAAAACAAGGTGACACCCGATGTTCCTGTGTACATAGTCCAAGCAGATCTTTTAAGGTTACATTTGTGTATCTAGGCATACCTCACAACTTTTTGGAAAGAAGAAAAGGAACACTTAAGGTCCCCACACACCTTACGATAACCGTGGGAAATCCAGCGATCGTACGATTATCGTAAGGTGTGTGGAAGCCGTGCGACCTCTACTACTGTAAGGTCGCACGACTTTAAACTTACGAACATGTTTCAAAACCCGCCGAGCATCGTACGATGTTCGGCGGGTGTGTAGCATGTTCGTGAGATAAAAGCCGACGGGCCGGTGTGTGCAAGCGCACACTGCCCGTTCGGCATTGCGGTCATCGGAAGCCCGCCCCTCAGGGGGCGTGGCTTGCGATCATCGCAAGTACGATCTGCCTATGCAAGATAGGCAGATCGTACGTTTTTTTAAGTACCTTACAACCATCGCAAGACAAAAGTCTTGCGATGGTTGTAAGGTGTGTGCCCAGCCTTAATAGTTTAAAGCATGTAGGCAAAGGACACGCCATGCCATTTTACAGACCATGACAAATGACCAAAAAGTGATGCTTTAACTGACAAATAATTGTTTTTTTACCACTTTTTTTGTATGCTTGGTTATTAAGCACTTTGCTACCAGAGCAATTTTTTTACACATGTGCTAAAATGGCAAAAAACTGCATAAAACTTGAAACATTATATATATTATTTATATTGATTTTTATAAAAGCAAATTCCTGCTTACTTATTGCATCTGCGCAGGACTGGGTTACTAGAATTTGCTTTTACTATGACTAAACAACTCAATTCACATGCTTTTTGTGTGAACATTCCCTTTAGGTAACTATCCCAAAAGTCCCACAACAGCAGCATCCAATACACGTTTTAGTATAGTCATCCTAATACAAACTGTTAAGTGATAAAATGCTGTCGGATTCTACAAATTAATGCAATTTTTAAAAAATATGTCATTCCACACGTCAGCCATAATCCTGGAACATCTACCCTCATTGAATATTCTTCTCATATTTATTGATAAAACATGATAAAATAGAACGTTTACAAATACTAAACTTCAGAAATGTGTTTCCACAGTATCAGCTGCAGGGACCAAGCACGTGAAATCCATGGCAGGGAGCATTTTGATATCTAAATTACTGGCGCCATCTGCTGCAAAAGTCAAGAACAGGTTCTGGAAACCTTCACTCGTTTTCCGGCAAACAATACATAAACAATAATATAACATGGAAAAGAGTGCATAATAAAAAGTAGTGTAGATCTTAGTCTCCTTCTACAACTGTTTAAGTGCCTTTTTTAATTGCAAACAATGAATGAAATATGAAACACTTTCTATCTAAACTCTGATGTACTAAGACTATCTGTTGCTTTTTTTTTGTATGCAGCATCTTTGTTTTTTTTTTCAAAACACACTCTATATGGACACCATGAATGATATGTCATTAGGGCGTAGAATCCTGTGTTGGATGCAGTAGTACACAAACCTTATGGGGTTGAGTTATGACCCCAGAGGCAAATCATCATACCTCCCAACTCCCCCTCATTTGAAACCAAATCCCTTGGTCCCTCTTTTCTCCTCAGGTGTCCCTCTTTTTGGTCTGATATACAGATATCTAGGAAAGGGTTCTTTTTAACTACCAAATGTGTTATTCTATGCTAAAACCTTTATATTGTCTCTTAATTATCTTTTTTGCTATGTGGAAACACCATTATAAAGGAAAAGTAATGGTGAAAAACAAAAAATTCTGTGTTTAACCAATAATTTTGCCATACAAATTTGTTAATAGTCCGCATGGTATTGATGTGTCCATTGCCTAAATACAATGTGCTGCAAGGTGTTCTTTCTCATCTCAGAAAGTTGGGAGCTACGAAACCATATTTCTTTTCATTGAAGTCAGGTTACTGAAACAGGACCGTTGATTGGTTGCTATGGTTTACGGACTTTGCTCTTGGGGCTTGTTCACACCACTGACAGTGCGTTCCAGAGCGGTTATCTACTGTATCGCATACTAAACTCCCCCTTAGTACCCTAGCTATTAACACAAATGTATCTTATTTGTGTATCACTCAGCTGTAGATCCTCAAATCATCTCTTAATTGGTGCTGACACTGTGCTTCCTTCTGGATGGTGGCTACTTTTGTTACCTATGGTCCCTGTGTGTGTTGTTAAGTAGTCACCACTGCTAACTAAACATGAGATTGTAGTCCATCACGGGAGCGAGCTTGGAGTGGTGACTACTTTACAACACACAGAGGACCATGGGGAACAAAAGTAGCCACCCTCCAGAAGGAAGGACAGGGTCAGCACCAATTCAGAGATGATTTGAGGATCTACAGACGAGTGATACACAAATAAGATACATTTTTGCTAATAGCTAAGTTTCTTAAATACATTTAACAATTCCTGAGTTTAGTGTCACTAAGTAACAAAGCAAGGAGCAATGCACAAAGAACTGTAGCCCATAGCAACCAATCCTAATTTATCTATCATTGCCCAAAGTGAAAAGCTAGAATTCTATTGGCAGCACCATCTTAATAAAGAAGTCGTGGCGTGTGTAAATATAGCTGTACAGGGAGAAGAAAGATTGTATTTTGTGTTTCATGTCTTGTTTCTGACACAAAGGTGGACATTAGTGAAGAAAAACAAATACATTATGCATGAGGCAAGGTTTATACCTTTCTCCTTTTTTTGAGTGAAAGATTCATCTCCTGTGAAAACAAAACACGTATGTTTTAACAGTAATATATGCATCAAAAGAGTAAGAATGCAAATAGACGTCTGATTTATACAACACAATGCTTTGTGAGCTCAACAGGCATCACACATTACTAACCTGCTTCCATGGGGAAATAGAACAATCATATGACATGATTTTATGTGTCACTAAATTACCTTCATAGCCCAGCTTAGCTTTTCCCTTATATTATGAAAGAGTATAATAAAGAAAAAGTACTTTTATACAAACTTCCATACAAGGCTGTTAAAGGGCAAAAAAGAAAGTAATTTACAATATCTATGTGTCTACTGTTACTTAGAATTTTAAATGTTGGAAGTTATTCAACATTCCCATTCATCAGAAACAGGCTCCACATCTAGGACCTCAGAAAGAATCCTTGCTTACATATTGTTGGTGTGAAATAAAATGAAACGTGACAACAAAAACACATTCAGGGAATTCACTATCACATTTGCACCTGAATTTGGGTGCTAATGCAGCCTGAGAAATGTCTGTGCCAAAATCTAAAACATGCTGTGCCATTTTCTAGACCACTAACGACTCCTGCGCCAAATTCAAGTTGTTCTTATTTGCGCCATATTTCATTCTGGCGCTGTGTTTGCAACATATTAAATAAATGAACTGCAACAGTTTGGTAATAAGAAAAATTACGTAAAGTAATACCAAGTACCTTTTGGCATAGCTAGTCTGTGGCAGTAAGCAACACATACGTCAGATGTGAATTTTTCCTTGAAATAGAGGATCCAACTGAGATCTGTCTCAGACACACATGCCACACTTTGGACAGAGACGCAACACATCTATGTACTTTATCAGTGTGCATATATCTGTCCCAAAATTGGTCTCACATGCCAGCGCCAATTTCATAGGTTTTCAGTGGAGGTGGCACATCATACACTTGAGCGGTAAATCCCCTTTAATTCTTGAGCAGGTGCCGAAATGACCGGCGGATGGCACCGTCTGAAAACAGCATTTTAAGAAGAGAAGTCACCAGCACACTGTTTTCTTCATAATAAACCTGCAATAAACCTATCACTGAAAGGGTGCAGTGTTTTGGGGCCACACAGGGACCCCTTCATCAGTGATAATCAAATCAACCCTGTGTGGCCCCGAAATGTTGCAACTTTTCCTGTGATAGGTTAATTCCAAGACATCAATAAAGGTGTTTTAATTAATGAAGAAAGACTGGTGACACTTCTTCCAATGTTATACATGAATTTGGTGCAAAGAACGATATTATTCCTGTAACCCTGAGACACTTTTCGTATGTGTCTCAATGACTCTTTTTGAAATTCTCTAATTTCTCTATTTATATGTGTAAAGCACAATCCACCCCCAACTGTTGCCTAACAATGATTATCACCAATTAAATTAAAAGCCTAAACCTAGGTTAAGCTAATCCAACTCTTAAATTCATATTTTTTTCGGGATGCTTACGTAATTTTGGTTTCAACCAACACTAATTTGACCACAGTAAATGACACCTAACATTCACGAAAAAATTAATTGAAGGCTGACCAACCGCCTATGGCTCATCACTATGACTGGCCACCACACTGACCAATAGGATGAATTGGGAGGTGGATTAAACTTGGGCACTATCAGTATGTGTTGAGGCATGCATATTAGAGCACTCTTGTAGACTGACTACTTCATGCACATTCGTTGAAAAGCTGGGTGTCAGGTGCTGGACATCAATTTTCAACCCAAACAGTAAAGTCACTATTAAAGCCTGATGAGAAAAATAAAAAAGATGATGAAAAGGGCATTTAGAAAATATAAAAATGAAGGAACACTGCAACCACTTGAACGTTACAAAGGATATAACAAAATATGTAAAAAGGAAAAAAATATCGCAAAGATTCAAAACGAGCAAGAGGTTGCAAAAGAGTGCAAGATAAACCCCCCAAAAATCTTTAAATATATTGATAGTAAAAAAATCAGGTCTGAGCATGTAGGCCCCTTACAAGATAACTCAGAGTTGGTAACTGGGGACAAAGAGAAGGCAAATCTATTAAATACTTTCTTCAGCGATATGTACACTAAGGAACAAGGTGGAACTCAAGTCCATAATGGGGATGGCAGTGCCACAGCCCACAATGACTGACTGATATGGTCCAGAAACAGTTAAGCAAAATTAAGGTGAACAAAGCACGTGGACCAGATGGCTTACACCCACGTGTCCTCAAAGAATTAAGCTGTATAATGTCAAAGCCACTGTATCTAATTTTTAGAAAACTCTCTAATAACTGGCATGGTACTGATGGATTGGCGCACGGCCAATGTGGTGTCTATAATTAAAAAGGGATCAAAGTCTTTACCAAGTAATTACAGACTTGCAAGCTTAAAAGAGAACTATAGGGTAAGCGTTATTCCCCATGGTTCTCTTAAGGGTCACAGGAGGACATACACTAGCATCCTCCCGTGACCCAAAGCTCAGTATATCGCGAGCTTCACCCAGCTGCGTGAGTGCCAGCTGGCTCTGCCTATCTAGAGGCAAAGCCAGCTGTGCCCACCCCCTCCCCAGGCTGTTCCTCCAGTCAGCGCTGGCGGATCAGAGCGGGGAGGTGGGAATCTCTGCTGGGAGCCGTGACTGACAGTCACTGCTCTCTGCAGGGAGATGATCGAGAAGTGACCGAGCGATGGTATGCGTTTGCTCACTTCACGATCTATTGAGCCAACGTGTGACAGTTTCATTGTCACACGTCGGCTTGAACTATGATGAGTGATTTTTTCACTCGCCTCATAGTTCTCCTTTAACTTCAATAGTTGGGAAGATACTTGAAAGTTTGATCAAGGATCACATACACCTGTTTTTGCTTGAAAATATTATTATAAGCAATAGTCAGCACGGATTCACAAAAGACAGAAGTTGTCAAACAAACCTACTTTCTTTTTATGAGGAAGTGAGTAATAAATTGGACAGAGGAATGGCTGTGGATCTAGTATACATAGACTTTGCAAAAGCGTTTAATGCCATTCCCCACAGGAGGCTGATGCATAAGTTAAAGGTCTGTAGGTATAGAGTATTTAATATGTAATCGGATAGAAAACTGGCTTACGGAAAGTATTCAGAGAGTGGTGATCAATGATCCATACTCTGAATAGTCTGAGGTTGTTAGTGGTGTCCCCCAAGGTTCAGTGTTGGGCCCCTTACTGTTTAACTTATTTATAAATGACATAGAATTGAGGATTAAAAGTACTATTTCTGTGTTTGCAGATGACACCAAGTTATGTAGTGGAATATAGTCCTTACAGGATGTCTCCAACTTACAGGCAAATCTGAATGCACTGTGTGATTGGGCATCTATGTGGTAAATGAGGTTTAATATTAATAAATGTAAAGTTATGCACTTGGGGACTGAAAACATGCATGCGTCATACACTCTAGGGGGAGTATGTTTGGGGGAGTCAATGATGGAGAAAGCATCTGGTAGAGCATAGACTCAATAATAACATGCAATGTCAAGCCGCAGTTTCTAAAGCAAGCAAAATACTTTCTTGTATTAAAATGGGTCTAGATTCCAGAGATAGAGACATAATCCTGCTCCAGTCCTGTACAAAGCATTAGTAAGACCTCATCTGGAATATGCAGTTCAGTTTTGGGCACCAGTTCACAAAAGGATGTTGTGGAACTGGAGAAAGTGCAGTGAGGGGCGACTAAACTCATAAGAGGCATGGAGGAGCTCAGCTATGAGGAAAGATTAGCTGACCTGAATTTGTTCTCTCTGGAGAAGAGGCGATTAAGGGGGGACATGACCGCCATGTATAAATACATAAATGGTAAGCTTGGTGCCAAATTATTCAATTTAAGGTCACTGCAAAGGACAAGGGGGCACTCTTTGTGTCTGGAGGAAAAGAGGTTTTACCTTTGCATACGGAAAGGATTCTTCATTTAGAGCTGTGAAAATGTGGAATAGACTCCCCCAGGAGCTAGTTCTGGCTAGCTCAGTTACTTGTTTTAAATCTGGATGTATTCTTAAATGCACAGAATATATTACTGGATATTAAGTTCTTATAGGTATATTAAGCACCAGAGATTGTTGATCCACGGAATATCCAATTGCCTTATGGGATCAGACAGGATTTTTTTGCCCCTGTTGGAGCAAATTGAACTATGGCTAATAGGGTTTTTTGCCTTCCTCTGGATCAACAGTGGGTAACTGTGGGCATAGTGATGTTTTAGGTTTTTCTTCTTTCTTTTTTTTCTCTCATCTCTATAGGTTGAACTTGATGGACTTGCCGTTTTTCAACCTATGAAGTGGTGCTCTCATTTGACCCAACTACTTCATGCACATGGACAGTTTACAAGTCTTCTTAAGGGACAAAAATCACCTGTAAGCTTGCATAAGAGGTAACTTGTTTATTTTGGATGTGAGCTTCAGATGTCCCTGTATCGAAGTCTGAAACTCAATCACCTCAAGTTCCAAGTTGCTATACTGATTACCATCATTAGATTGGAACAAATCTCCTGTGATACAGAAAAACATCTAGGAGATTTTTGAAAGAATACACAAAGTCTTTTGCCTAGAAAAAGAACCTTCCCCCCTGACTCCTAGCAGTTTTTTTTTAGTTTCTATGTACATTGAATGGCACCTTGTGTCATGCAGTGCACAGTTTCGCACAGTAAGATGACAGGAATGGGCCAGTGTAACTCCTGAGTAACATGATCATTTAACAC